TAACACCAATGGCGATAGTAATGCTAGGTGTTTATACAGAAGATCATCATGTGATCACGTGAATTTCAGCATCATCCAATTTCAGCATCATCCCCGACAATAATTCACCCATAGTCCGAGGTAAAATCATATTTTTTCGGATCGATAAAGCTTAAGCAAGTTATCCCAGAATTCATTTATAATATTTGATTAACGTTGTGTTACATTTAATTAAATTTTGTTTTACCATATCGTTATTGATAATTATAATTCGTCACACTTAAAATTTCACATACTTGAAATTTCACACACACACTTGAAATTTTTAATATTATTAATAATTTCTTTATTTTTTTTTATTTTTTTTTTTGGTTTAGTTTTATTTTTATTTTTTTTGAAAAAAATAAAATTTCCGTACCCCTACCCCTAACAATTTTAGATGCAAATAAGAAATATTTAAATAAAGAAACGTTATAGTATGAAAATGTGAATGGGAAATATTCTTTTAAAAAATATATTGAGAAATATTTATACAATAATTGGTAAATCGGTTAAAACGAATGAAATGAGTGAACGAACGAAAGAATAAAATTATTGAACAAAAAATGATTGAACAAATGATTGATTGAAATGATCTGATTTTGATTGAAATGATTTGATTTGATTGAAATGATTTGATTTAATCTGATTTGATTTAAAATGAATGAATAAATGATTAAAATGAAATGATTAAAATGAGTGTGTATATTGGTCTAAAAAAAAAAATATGTACAGAACGGTTAAAATTAATCATGTAGTCTAGATAAATGAAAGTTGTTACAAAAATACAATGAATTCGTAAAGAATTCAAAGAATTCATACAATGAATTCATATGATTAATTAACCATTTCTAAATTATATTTATGGTGTGATGCATTTAATGTCCAGTCACTACCAAATTATCATAATACAATTTATCATTTGGTCTTGTTTGTTATTACTCTTAATAATCTCGCTAGTCTCACTGATCTCGCTAGTCTCACTGCAACGCTAGTTCATTAGTTTGGTTTTGTTGATTTTTGTTTAATGCTTGGTCGATGATGTGTTTTAGATAAACCAATGCTATTCAAAGTTGAAGACGATTCAACAACCACAGATGAATCAAGACTCACAGACCTTCTATGTGATTTTGAAATAGCTTTGGAAAAGATATTTTTACCATGAAGTACGTTAGATACTGATATATTATTATTATTATTATTATTATTATTATTTTCACCGTTAGACGATAGATCATTTAAGGCTACAAAGGTTCCTGGAATTCCACTTAATTTAGGACTATTGGGTTCACTACGAATCTCAAAAGCTGAACTCCTATCCAAATCATCTTCATCGGGCATGTTCAAGTAACAACTTGCATTTACATGTTCAATTGATGTTAATGAAGTATCCGGACTTTCTTCAAATAAAAGTTCACGACGACTTGAAGAAGCTGAAGATGGATCTGATGTTGAAGTGCTAGAATCTTTTTTATGTGAATTATTTTCATTACGATGTAAAAGACGACCTATGAATGAAAGACTCTTTTTCTGTTTTAGTTTTGGTGGTGGTGGCGGCTTTGGTTTATCAGGAACTAACATTGGTCCACTTTCATCTACATTTGTAATTTCCGAATTTGTGATTTCCATAAAAGTATCATCATAAGAAGGTAAATTGGTATCGGCAAAAAGATCTGCAAATAAAGAATTCTTTTCTTCGGGAATGGTGGTAATACTAATTGGAAACACTAATTCCAAATCATTTTCATTTTCATCTTCAAACATCAATACAAATCGAAATTTATGTCTAACTTTCATTAATGGAGATTTAAGTGTGGCTTTTAATCGAGATTTGCGAGTGCCTCGGGAATATTGTGCAAACGGAAGGTTATAAATCAATGCATTATTCCAATTATCTACTTCATTGGAAACATTGAGTGTTGTCGGGGCTATAGGATAAGTTCGTTTACGTTTTGTTAACGGTGAACCATTTAATGGAACAATGGAAACTAAATTAGCAGGATCGACCGAAAATTCATCCATGTCTTTTCGACTTGGCTTAACACTAAATATTTTAAAAAAAATATATTAAAAATATATTAATAAATATATTAAAAATATATATTAAAAATATATTAAAATAATAGATTAAAAATATATGTTAACGTCATTATAAATTTACCTATATTTTTCAGATTGAACCAATTCAAAGTGAATCTTCTTTATGCGACCTTGGTCGCTTTTTGGACATAATTTTAATCTGATTAATAAACTTTTTTCATTAACGTAAATGACTGTAGGAAGTTCCAACTCAAAATTTATAATATCCTTTCTTTCACCCTTATAAATTTTTTGTGGAGGAGCAGGTAAAAGCTCTCTCCTACAAGGTAAATAATGTCTTAAAAAATTAATTCCTCTTTCGACTCTAGTATATTTTGACATTAATGAAGCTGGTTGAACCACGGCAACCAATTTATAAAAAATTACACCAAAATTAGTTCTATAAGTTTGTGGTAAATTACCGGGAACCCTAAATTCATAATCAATATCGGTTACACCTCTAGGTAAAGTATTTTTTTCATGAAGAATTTGTTCAAGTTTAATTATTTCTAATGCTGAATATTGGTCTTCCCAATCAGAATATTCGGATTTTCCTTTTAATCTGATGGTTATTAATTTCATATTTTGTGGTCTCGAGAGGATTATACGAAGTTTACCGGAAACTAAGTGTGTTATATCCTTATTAGGTGCACCATACATTACTACTTTTCCATCATGATGTGGAAGGATATCCACCGCAATAATACTATTACTTATCATTTTTAAAAAAAAATTTTTCTTTATTTTTTTTAGTAATTATTGATACATACAGTATATATATATAAGAGCAAAAAAAAAAGAAAGGATTTCTAAATGTTGTGAGTGTGGTTGAAAATGAGCTAATTACCGACTTTTTATAAATAAATAAATAATTTTTTTTTTGTATTTTTAATAGATATTCAAAAATGGTTATAAATATCATGTAGTAATGTCATCTTTGAAAATGGAATATAAATATTTGGAAGATCGCATGTTTGAGAATGTATAATAAGGATTCCCCGAAAGGGTAAATATACACAAGGGAAAGGGGCCGTTCTTTTTACTCAACGTTTCAC